GAAGGGAAGGGAAGGGAAGGGAAGGGAAGGGAAGGGAAGGGGAGGGAAGGGGAGGGAAGGGAAGGGAAGATGGATGGAGAAGGAGGAGGGGAGGGAATGGGAGGGAAGAGGAAGGAAGGAAGGAAGGAAGGAAGGAAGGAAGGAAGGAAGGAAGGAAGGAAGGAAGGAAGGAGAGAGAAAGGGAGGAAAGAGGAAAAGGAAGGGGAAGGGGTTGAGTAAGGGAACAGAGAAAGGAATCCATGTCATCTCTTGTTTAGAGAACGAGGGGGTCATTCCAGAAACACTTTTCTTGCTCTAATCACATATGATGAAAGAAAACTAAGGCAATTTTGGTTTCTCTTCTTTCCCCCTCAGATGACAGGTTTCCTCTGATTTTATAAAAAAATATCTTCTCTTAGGTTAGACCCTGCGATGAAAAATGCACAGACAACAGATTAAGAAACCCCAATAGCCCCTCCGTAATCTCTTTCCCCGTACTCACATACACATCATCAAACTTGGAAAGCAAAGTTTATTAGATGTCCAGCCGCATCTTGTAAGGAAGCTGCCGATGGGTGTCCATCAAGCTGAAGCTGTTCCATTGTCCCTTGATTTCCTCAACTCATTCCAAGATCCATCCTTGGACAAAATGTTTCATGTTCCTTCTTTTTTCTTCTTTCCGCTTGTCTTTGCTGACTAACACTTCTCTTATCTCCCCTCTTGGGACTCCTTGATCATGCCATCTTGGAAGTCCAGACTCTAAAGGTGCTCCTGCTACAAGTTCTTCAATCCTATATCAAAACTGGGCGTGATCAACTTCATCCAGCCAAGAAGCAGGACTTGCTGGAAAATCTGGATACCCTCCACTGCTTCCTGTAGAGAGATCTGAACCGGGTCCATTCCCACTCAACACTCTCATGGGCTGAGGCACAGTTTGTCCCCCTTGGCCTACAATGCCCAAGCCATGGTCTGGGTAAACCAAGCTGGACATTAGAGACTGGTGACCAGACATAGCTTGTAAGGACCCTGGTGAGGGGGGTATTCCGTAAGGGCTGTTTGAGCGAAGATCATGGAATTGGTCCTGAGTTGGAATGCCGCTGTGTTCCAAGGAGAAGCTTGTACTGCTCCCCGCTTGTTTTGCCAGAACGGGTGAGTTTTCCCCAAGATTGTTGTAAATCCCATTGGGATGGTTGATGTCAGATATAGAAGGTTCATCTGGAAAAAGGAAATGGGAAAGTTGGAGAGTGAGTGGGATGACAACATTGGACATCTCCCTCAGGACCATTCTTTTGGGGAAGAACCTCCATGTTCTTCCTTGAAGAACCATCTCCTCGGAACTTCCTGCCCTCCACTTGCTAAGAAGAGAGGAATTGGACTGAAGTCCACACTGGTACCTGGGTTGGAGAAGGCTTGCCTAGAATATTCCCATGGTGCCATCTTGGACATGCTTACTCTCTTTCCCTTCCTCCTTTCTTCTTTTCACATCCCTCAAAAATCCACTTTCCCAAAACATCTCTGCCCCAACAAATTTGCCATAAGCTTAATCTACAGCCATACTTTGGTTTCCATTCAGTGATGAACCCAGTTTTGGACTAGTTCCAGTTCACTGGACAAAAGCACGCTGAATTCAAACGTGCAACAGAGCTACAGGATGCATCTTCCAGACAAAGGCAGCTGCAAAGGAGGTTTAATGTCAAAGACCACATGATGCCGCTGCGACAAGTTTGACACATCTGAATCTACTTTGGGATTCAGTTTGCCATGACTGCTACACTTCACCCTCCAGTGGAGAAGTGACGATTGATCCAGGAGAAACATCAAGGAAAAAACTTCCTGGAGAATCAGATATTGTAATTTTCTAAACTGGGGAAAAAATCCAAACACTGTGGGCTGAATATAAGTCACCCCCCCCAACCCAGAAACAAGCTTACAATTGAATAATCTTAGCCAAAACAATTCATGATTACATGACTGTGTCTACACAAGACACATAACTGAGCCCAGCATGTTAAGCGTGGTGAGCATTAACCACGGTTTAGTTATTTTTTTCTTTCTTTCATGGTGGTATAGCACGCAAGACCTGGTCAGTCAGTCTTAGACCAAACAATGGGCAATGGCTCCCTTGAATCAGCAAGTATGAACTCATATACTTTGGGGTTGAGCCAATGACAGAGTACAAAAAATGAAAAGATGTAGAAGATTATAAGGAGTGTTCTTGGGAGAGCTACAAATTATTACTGGGGGCAGGAAGAGATGGCAAATATTGGTCCGTGCAGAGCCTAGGAAGAATCGAATCCATCTTGAAGGCATCTAACCCAGCAAGTGAGGCCCGTTCATGAATCAGTGTATTGTACAAGGCCAGAAAACAGGAACATTCGGGATATGGTAAATATTCAACTATGGCATGTGAATATTTAATTGCATTTAATAGGCCTTGGTCATAGTTTGCTTTCTCCAGAAAAGTCCCTGCTTCTGAGCCTGAACCCTAGCTCTAACCCAGAATAATCCTATTGCAACCCACAACAACAGTCAAGAAGTTTCCGTGAAGGATAAAGAGGTCAAAAAAGTCAAAATAGTGACCACAACTGTGCAATCAAAGCCCTCCCCTTAATGCGCATGGATATAAAAAAGGGGTGAGGCATGGATTAGGCCATGGGCAGCCATCTTGACTTTTTTGACCCTCTCTCCCTTGTGGACGCCCGTGACGGATGCTCAGGAGGGGGCGCCTCCTTCCCACATGGCTTGCAGAATCGTTGCGTTCTGGAACCCAGCTTTGCAAGGACACCGTTCGGATTTGTCGTGTACCTGTGAAAGAAACCTCAGCGTCACTGTCTGGTCCTTCTTCCTGAATGCTGTCCTTGTCGGATTTGGAATTCCCCCTTGATCGTTTCATGTTCCTAAAGTATTGCCCCCACCTCTGCCTTCCAGCATCTTTCTTCAGGCGCTTTTCTTTGGCCCTTCTGTTCTGGAACCACACCTGGGGATTGAAAAGAAGGGATATGTTTCAGCGCAAATCGAAAAGCAAGCAAGGTGTTGTTTCGGACCCCTTAGAGCATCATCATCATCGACGCTCTTTAAGGAACGCGTCTCCCTCTGTCCTTCTTGCCGTGTCCTTCTTCCTTTTGTTTCTGGGTGAAATAGTTGCAAAATTTAAAAAATGCAAACAAAAATTGGCTTTCATTGTGAAACACGTATTCCAGAACACAGGCAGGATTTGGAAATGGGGGAAGGAGGTGACACTGAAGAGGATGCACAGTCTCGGTGCCTGTGGCATTTTGCAAATAAATTCACCAGGTGACAAAAATGTTCTCTCTGCTATTAAAAATGTACCACCATAAGAAGAAGCCTAAAGCTAGATCTGGCCAAGGGCCATTCAACGCAGTCTTTTGCATCCCACGGGAGCTTTAACGCTAGGATGTGCAAATTAGAAATAGTGAAAAAGTTGAAATGGCGCCACCGGGGTGCCAGCAAAGCCCCGCCCCTTTTCCAGCAGGCGGGGCACACATTAAAAAGAGGGCGGGGCTTTGATCATGTAGCGGTAGCCCCCAGCTTGATTTTTTTTGACTCTCCAGCATCCTCCAGGAATTTCTCCAATCCTATTAAAATGGTTGATGCCAAATGGTTTCACCAGTTATTTGTGCAAATTAGATATTTGTGGCTCAGGGTAAACAAGGGAAAAAACAAGGGAAACAAGGGGAAAACAAGGGAATTTGTGGCTTAGGGAGAAAAAAAATTAGATATTTGTGGCGTAAACGAAAACAAGGGCAACACCCATCAACAGTGACCTGGACTCTTCCCCATGCAGGTCACCATTGTCAGAGCTCATGATGTTGTGGACTCCAAATCATTTAATGCCCAGCCAGCTAGGGCAGTGTGGGCTGAGGATTATGGTCACCCGACATAAATGGCAAGCAATATACCAGAAAAGGTCAATCTGGTGCCTGTGATTTGACTTCCCTGACCTTCTGCTGTGTTGTACCTCTTGATTCTTTCATGGATTGTGGTTACCTAATTATTCGGTTCTTCTACTTATCCAGAGATATTTACAAGCTAGTTTCTACTGCATATCACTGAATTTTGGCCAGTTGATTTGAGCATATCTTGCCCACATGCAAAGCAGGAGCTGAGAAGTCCTGGGAGCTGGAGAAGATGATCTGGAGGTTGGACAAAGGCTGGCTGGAGACCTATCTGAGGACACTTAGTGGAGGACAATTTTAATCAGCAAAAGATGATTTAGCACCCATTGAATCCTGTGTCCAGTTCTGGCAGCAGGGCTTGGAACCAACCGGAATAAATTGGAGTGAGTTCAGAGGACAGCCAGGGTATTGACCTCACGTCTTAGGAGGAATGGTGAAAGGATCTGGGTATGTTCTTCTATAGGCCAGGCAGAAATAAATACAACTTTTTCCCCCTAGTTCCTTATTCTCTACTTCTCCCAAAGGCAAGACCAGAACCAGGGGTTAAAACTAGAAGGAAAGAGTTTTGGGTTAGACATCAGGAGGAATTTCATGACTGTCTGAGTGATCAGCCAGTGGAACAGGCTGCCACATGAAGCAGGGAGTTTTCCTTTGCTGGAGGACTTGTGATGGAATGGAATTATGAAGGCCAAGCTCAGGGAGATAAACATCTTCTTAGCTCACCAGAACCGCGGGAGAGGAACAAGAGGATGAGACTGGCATCTCCCTGAGGAATTCACACTGTTGTGGCTGGCTGGCTTGGGAGCTGGGGTTTCAGTCTGGG